GCTGTACTGAAGACTGAAAGACTCTCTGACTGGCCACCCATGTGGAAATTGTTTGGCTCTGTGACACTAACTTATGTCCTGTAAGAACACAAAATAAAAAATAAATCCCAAAGATTGTAACTAAGTAATGAAGTTCATATTCGTACAGGATCAAACTCATCTTTTACATGTAGAGGAGGTCAGTCAGTTTCAGTGGAACTACAGTCGCCTGTGATTGAGATTGTCTGTCCTCTGTCTCCCTCTGCTGTGTGTGTGTGTGTGTTGTGTATCAGCTGGATGACAGGGAGGGGGTCAAGCGAAGACCTCCTGCAAGACTGGAGTCCCTTAAGGCCAGGAAGGAGCAAAGTCTCCCCAGCAAAGAAGAGATTGAGGAGAAGATAAGACTTGCTGAGGAGAGACGCAAGGTACGATGTGTGTGTGTGTGTGTGTGTGTGTGTGTCATTGTGTACCTGAACACCTCAGCTGTCTCTGCCTCCCTCTCACAGTTTTCTTTTTTTCTCTCTCTCTCAGTTAAAGGAGGATGAGCTCAAGACACGTTTGAGGAACAAGTCGGCCCGTGTGCGTGGCCCTGCCCCCACCTCCAGGACCGAGGAGGACGAGGCCCTCACCCTCGTGGAGCCGCTACAGTCCCCTCTCACCCTGGACCCCGTAGATCCACCGCCTAGCAGCCAGATCACACGCGAGGAGGCCGAGGGCGGAGAGCGGGTGAGAGAGGCTGGAGGTGACGGCAGGGAGAGTAGAGATAAAATGGGCAGAGCAGACAGGAGAGACGAAGGAGGAGAGAGCGGGGAGGACAGAGAGGACGGTGCAGGGAGAATACGTGAGCATAATGATGGGAAAGAGGAGGTGGAGGAGTTGACCCAGGTGGAGGAGCTCAAGAGGGATCAGCTCTTCGCAGGCCTAGGGGAGCTAGAGAATGATTCTAGCTTTCAACGTGCAGAGGACGACAGAGAGGAAATATTTTAAATGAGCCATGAATCAGCACTAAGAGAGGAAACAGAGAGACGGGGTGGGAGCCAAAATAATTCCTTTTGCACAAACAAGAGGCCTGTTGAAACTTGTTAAAAGAAACATGTAAGGAAATGTGTACAGTCTGTATTGTTTGGGGTGAAATGAACAGATGTATTGAGCTGTGATTGGCCCTACAGTTAAAACTGTTATATATAATATTTCCACTGCAGGGAGGCATATCAGGTGTTATATTTTAGTTTCGTAATAAGCACAAAGGAATATGAGGATTTTTCTTTCCAATGCAATATCATTTACCTCAGCAATGCTTTAATACACATGACCAAGACTTAAAGTTCTTGCCAACATACAAAATTAATTTAAATAAGATTTTTTGTTTTCACGTTTGCATGTGCAGGGTGTATTCTGTGCAGTTGTTCTGTTGGACAGAAGGTGGCGCTGTTTCAGTGTGTTAAAGTTTGTAGCACAGCTCCCTGAAGCCAGTGGCCCTCATCCATGGGATAAGTTACAATGAGGAGGTTTTGGCAGCATGTTGAAGAAGTGCCTTGTGTGAAAAGACGTGTACGGTGAAGTTGTTATTGATAAATAAAAGCTGAAATGTTTCCCTATGTGTTGTTTGAGGGTCGCTCAGTTATTTGTCAGAATGCGAAAATCTTTTATGAAATTAGTTCATTAACCAGAGCTTGTTTTAACTTTTTCAGAGAGGTTGTTGAGTGGTTTTGAGTACAATCATAGTGTGACTGAGCTGTGAGTATTCAGCTGTTGCAGCGACCTTTGACCTCTCTGCCTGACAGGTGTCTGCTACAGCCCAGAGTTACAGTCTCAGCTCCCTACAGCCTTTTGTTTTTATTAAAGTAAAAAAATAAATCCCACTTTGATCGTTTGTTATCATGGAAGATGTGTATGTCTTAATGAATTTACAGCTGAACCACATTTATAAAGTTATTTTGGTGACACATCACTGTAAACGAGTGAGTTGTTGGAGTATCTCTGAAGATTATTGGAAATTAAGTATAATTAAAGCTTTCAAAAGGGGGAGGGGGCACAGCCTGTTAAGAGGATTCAGACTAGTCAGCATGTTGCACATGAACAGAAAACAACAATTGGACGCAACCTGACCGGATCCCCATTGTTGAGCCTGGGAAACTCGACACTGGTCCCCCTTTTTTCACGACTCCACTCGGACTTTAAAGCGCGTGTGGCTGCATTAATAAAACAGAGAGTGAACAGAGACACCGCAGAAAGACGCTCTATCAGGTTGCACTCCTTTGTGATCCGGAGTCCTGCTGTGGCACTTCACATTCAGATGGATGTGACAGGATGTGTGTGGAGCCTCCTCATACTGTTTCAGAATACAGATTTTGGTTCTAGTTTTGAAATATATCAGCCTATAAAGTGGACAAATAACCAGCCAAACATGCATTTACACCCAAAGCTGGAAAGCAAATTTAAGGCCAATTGTGGAGCTTTTGCTTGTGGTCCAATTTAATGAGCAGCAGAAGATCTGACACTCTTTTTTTCCCCCAAAACAAATATGAAAACATGAATGATGTTCCCGTGTGCAAATGTGCCATCTCACCGTGTTACACAGAATATATAGGGCGCTCACAGAAGCTGCAGCCGCCATTAAAGATTCACAGCAGAGTTCCCTCTCACATTACAGCTGAATTACTCATCCTGGCTGTTCAAAAGGACATCCATCCAGCAGTCAGCTCGGTGCAGAGGAGCTTCACAAGATATTTTAATCATTGATGTTCAGAGACTCTTGATTGAATTGATCTCTGACTCCTTTACTTGAACCTCTCCCATCATAATAGCTGTGAGTAACTCGACGACGCACGGCGCGTTTAATTATTAATTATTAAAAGGTGCCAACACCATCTTTTTTTAAGACAATAAGGGCTGATTCAGTCAAATGTTTCCATCTCAAGAATCCCCCCAAAAGAGATATAAATCGTAACCCAACTTGTTAGAATTTATTAGATATCGTTTTTCATTGACTTTAAAGTGAAGGAATCATTTAAAAAAGCAATTTCCCCATGCCTTCAGACTCAGGGCACAATCTGCACAGACTGTATGCGTTATGGCTGCCTGCATGGACACAAAAACTTGCCAAAACTCTGTCAACCCCCCCACAAGTGGAAGTCTTGAAGGCTGATACTTCCAGTGGAGCCTCAAAGCTGCACCTGTCTGCTCACTGCTGGGATGTGTCTGTCTCCGAGCTGTCCACCCTCTGACCGGCTGTTTCTGCTGGAGTCATAATCCACGCAAGCCCACGGGGAACACGGGACCGACATTTTCCACGGAATAAGTTTAAACCTGGTGTTTATTTCATCTCACCAAAGAGAGAAAATACATAAACCAACATATTTATTTACAAAGCTGTGAAAGACATTCACTCAGTTTGATTCATTCTAATTAAGTTCTCTTTCTCTTTGTGCCCAACATATCATCAGTGGAATCAGGTTTTGTTGCCCCCCCTTGTTGGTTAATTAAACGTGATTCTAGTAAAGACAACCCGGATCTGTTTCGTTGAAGGAGCTCCAACGCGTTCACACTGTGCAGGTCTCCCAGCTGTTTGTGCGCGCTGGTGGGCGGGCAGAGATGGACTGAAAGCTGGGTGGAGTTAGGAGCAGCGCTTTTAGGAATGGGTCCCAAACCTATTTAGTTAGACAGCAGAGTTACCAAGAAGAGCTGGAAACACCTGATGGTCTCTCTGGGACAATCCGCTCCATATAACTCCCCTCTTTAACTGTCGGAAGATAAATCTACCTCCAGGCTTCATTTATTTTTGTCGAGTTTTTGTTTTGTTTTCTCTTCTGAAAAAGTTACAGAGCCAGCTTATCTCTCTTTCTCTCTCTTTTCATCCAAAGAATTACTGATAAGGAGACATTGCACTATTCTTTTTTTTATTGTTCCTATTTATTGTACTTTGCACTAACGATGCACACCACGCAAAAGGACACGACCTATACGAAGATTTTTGTCGGGGGTCTTCCCTACCACACCACGGATTCAAGTCTCAGGAAATATTTTGAGGTGTTTGGTGAGATTGAAGAAGCGGTGGTCATTACCGACCGACAGACCGGCAAGTCTAGGGGTTATGGATTCGTAAGTATCACTTAATAAAAGCACATTTGTCACTTTTACGCAACTAACTTCACACTTTTTTACGCACGTAAACCCCCAACCCTCCTCTCCCGCGTCTCCGTTAAAGTGAGCGGCTGTTGCTGCCTGTTACAACATCATGACTAACTTTAATTTATCTGCAGTCATGGGATGTTTATGTTTTCACAAGCTTACTTTTTGCCACTGGCTTCTGTTGCAATCTCGCACCCACCAACTTGTTGCGCGTCGGTATGCGCCCGGACACGTTTTTAAAGCGAGCTGCCCTCACACTGACAGCTCTGGTGGGTCGAGGGAAGAAAAAAAAAAACCTTACGATGATGTCTTGATGTCCGCGGATCGTGCTGGTTTCATCATTTCCAAAGCTGTTTACAACTTTGCTCATAACGTTAAAATATTTTGCTCCCACTTGTTATAAAACCGACTGACAAAATGTGGAGACCAAAAAACAACCGCCAGCCCCGTGCTACTCAGATAGTGTGTTTTTTTTAGATGGTATATTTCAGTTTAATTTATTTATACGAACAGATGGAGTTATAATTATAAGTATACATGTAACAGGGCTGCCAGCGAGGGATCTAGAACCTTATTTGGCCTCTTCAAAGCCTCTTTAATAATGTGTGAGAGGTCACTTTGGACCAGTTGATGGTGTACAAAGTTGCAGAGTCATCCCTGATGTGCTCAAATGTTGTTTGTTCCATTTATAACATCTAAAACTGAGATTTTATTACAACTTTTGCTTAAATCCTCTTTTTTATTGTTGTTGCGACATCATATTTATATGATATATATTTATTATACGTCTTCCCTTTTCTGTATTTTCTCCTCAAAACTCACTCTTTCGTCCAGGTCAGTGAGGAGTGAGTGTGAAGCTCTGAGCAGATTATTAAAATTTGTTGTTGTAATGGGAGAGATAATGGAGTCATGTTCAGTCAGTCATCTCAGTGCTGGCTCCCATTCACTGCTGATAGTTTCAACACATCCACATGAGGGTGATGGATGTGTGTGTGCTGCTAAATTCTTGCTGTTGATGAAGGACACACACACACACAGAAAGAGGGTTAACATGCACACACCTCTTACCATCAGTTTATGATGCGTTTAGACATACTTGTATTTGTACCTCACTTACACACCTTTCTCTTTCTCATGCTCTGTGTTTTTTTTCAGGTGACGATGGCGGACCGCTCGGCTGCAGACCGGGCCTGCAAGGACCCCAACCCAATCATTGACGGCAGGAAGGCCAATGTCAACCTGGCCTACCTGGGGGCCAAGCCTCGGGTGATGCAGCCAGGTAAAGAAAAGAAGATCAATACAGCACATTTAAGTATATATAAATATATCTTTGCAGCCAGACATGAGCAGATAGGTCGTTTAAAGAGCACATTTTAAAGATGAATAAATAAGACGGCATGTTTAGTTAATATAGTAAGTGTATTTGTTCCCACGCTGTTGGTTTGGGAGTGTGAAGTTTTATTGGCAAAGCAGCAAACAAGACAATCAAGTCAATCCTTCCTGATTTGACCTCAGGGTTAATTTGTTTTTTAGGGTAGCTGCAGCTCATGTAAGAACGTGTAAGGAGGTTATTGGGTTATAAAAACTCGGCTCATGTTATTTAGCCCATTAGTGAGGAAAGGTTAATGCTTTCTGAACTCACTTTATCGTTCATTACCTCTTCTGTTTTGTAGGTTTTACCTTCGGTGTTCCCCAAATTCACCCTGCGTTCATCCAAAGGCCTTATGGGTAAGTACTGTCTATATGTATTTAAGAGGAATGTTGGGATGTGCACATTGTTTATGTAGAGATTAAATAATTCAAACATATTTTAATTTAATTTTAATGTGTGATAATTGATACTATCAGTATGATTTTTTTTTCATCTCTTATCCTTTTTTCTCTCCAAACCTAATTGATGGCTGATAATTAGAGGTGGACATTAAGTTGTATGTAGCCTTGTCCTATGTCACTGTCCACCAAACAGCCAGTCAAACTGCCTTTTCTAGGTTTGCCTGTTTGTAAAAAAATGTGTGTGAGTGTGTATACATACTCGTATGTGTGTGTGCGTGTGTGTATACTGAGTGGACAATGATGGAAACTTCTAGCCTGACTCAATGTTATCTATTTTTTTCTGGTTCGACAGGCTCGCTCTCGGTTAAGCTAACTGTGCTGGTTTGTGGAATAGTTCTGCGAACATAATCACAGATCAGAGAAAGGAATTACCTGTAGACTCAAACACACACAAACAAGCTCTCGAAATGGTGATTATAGATGCATGTACGTGGGTTTTGACCTTTTTTATTTTATTTTAATAGAACTTAGAGCTTTGTGTGCGGTTATGAAGTGGTGTTGTTAGCTAAACCGTGTGCTTTCTTACTTTAATGACCAAAAAAAAAAAAAAAGCTGGATTGATTTTTGGGGTGTTCTTTTTTTTTGTGGAAG